CTAGAAGGGAAAAAGGAAAAAATTTTTTTTTTTTTTTAAAATTCCCCCCTAGCTTTTTTAGACGCAATTCCCAATTGGTTCACCGTTTGCCCAATGCATGCTTTCTCTATCTTAACTGTTTTTTTTTCGCACAATTCTTGACCTACACCACTCAATGGCCACAAATGAAAACGTTATTTTTTATATATAATAGTTTTTGGCCACGTATGCACAAAACACTAGCTCTAAATCAAACAATACAAAGAATCTTCACTTCCAAATATTCCAAGTTTTCGCGATATGCATTTGGAAAAAATATTGATGAATTCCATGATGTTGGTCTCTGCACTGTAAACACAATTTTAGAAATATTTTTCCCCGGTTAACAGGGTGCAAAACAATATGTACGCAATTTTTTTGTACCCACTTTTTTGTCTTCTAATACATTTCTCTATTTTTGTTCTATTTTTTTTAAATACTACGCTTTATCATTATATTTATTATAGCTAATATTTATTTTCGTGAAAAATGGCTACATTTGTGGTCTGCATTACGCCTTAACGGCAGTTCAAGAGGGGGGGATTTTTTCCTTAAAAACTAAAAACTAACTTATTTTAAAGCTTCAATCTAATTAATTTCAGTGATTGTGTAGCCATTTTGGCATTCCAACTTGAACAATTTGCCTCCTTAATAACCAATTAATATTATTTGTTCCTTTTGCTTCTTAATATTTTTTCATTTCAGGCATCATTCAAATACTCGTTTCATGTATAACTACTCACCAATTCATTTATTCATATTGGCTCTTACTGAACTACACTAAACTTGCTCTGCGTTCATGAGAGAGCAAGGGGGTCTAACGCCATATCCGCTGCGACGGGTGTGTGGAGTGGAGGGGGTGACGAGGACGGGGGCGGTCGCGCTGATTCCCACTGCGTGTTGGTTTGCGCCTAGGAGGGAGATGGTGGCGGTGCCAGGTGGCGAGTGGCGCGAAATAGGAGAGTGGCAGCGGTCCATTAACGCGTCTTTACGGGCACAATGGCCGCGAAAAGCGCACATAATTATAATACTTTAAGTGTCTTTAGTCAGACGTCCACCCGCTAAAACCACTAATAAATTAACATAAAATAAAGACGTATGCTATCATCATCCTTTTTTAAATAATACATTTAATGTGTTTGTATTCTAAATGGTTTTTAATAGAAATAAATAATCCGTTACTCCAAGAAAGATTTTTTAATTTTACACGCAAAATGTAGTCGTTACAAGTAATTTCATGGTTTTTAGAGTGGCTGTTTTAAAGAGTTGTAAGGTATACTATTTTTCATTTTATGATTTTTTTGAATGACGTTTAATGAAGTAGCATTTCTCGACCTGTAATCTGTGGAATCCATCTATAGGGGTGAAGTTTAACAAGAAGAAAAATGTTGAGTGAATAATTTGTAACGAATATTGAAATATAATAATAAATTGGGAACAGAATTTCCTGTATATCGTGCTAATATGCAGTTAATTATATTTTAAATTTAGTATTAGTATATTAATTGCAAATCCACAAATAACTAGATTATTAATAAATATGCAAACTATGTGATTACAAGTTGCTGTAAAATTCAGATCTGATTAACAAATGAATGGCCGTCAGAACGTCTTGCAGCTAGAGTGAAAGTGATGTAGAAAGGTATTCGTTTCCTCGCTCTTAATTTCAACAGAAAGGTGGCACTGCAAATGGGTTGTGTTATTGGGGCGCGCCTTTCGTTCTAGGGCTGCGCGGGCGGGCGAGGCGCTGGCTGGAAGAGTGGGGGCGGATGAAGGGCGGGAGAGGAGGGGAGGGGCGGGGGCGCGGTAAGTGCTCGAGGGCCTCGAGCGTGGAAGTTGGCCTGCCGCTGCGAGCAGTCCTAGGGGTGGCCTGCCCCCGCCCGCGCGGCATGGGCCGCCCACGTCTTTGGCGCCAGTGCAGCATCTGGTCCTCGCACCCGCCGGCTTGTTAATCTTCATGGGCTTTTAGGAACCCGTAACGCAATTTTCTGCGATTTTTGTTGATTTTTTTCAGCTGTCCTCGCCAAGTACTAATGTCATGCCGAATAGCTGACCAAGTTAATCATTTTTCATGTCTTTGCAGTTTGTTAATGGAGAGGTTTTCAGTAATAAGTTCTAGAATACTCCACGATCGCTCGCACCACGCTGTTTGAATTACGATGCATCTCTAACCGAAATTAACTGTTTGAGACCGATACGAAGATTTAAGCCCGCTTCAGTCTGCTTGCCTGCAAATACATATACTATTTTTTTATATAATTTCTGCCTATGCGCTTCTTCAAGGCTAGAAGCAATTAATTTTTGAAGTTACGTGTCATCTTTAACCTGTTTATGTCATACGCACGTTTTTTCCATCTCTGTGATATTTGTTCCTTGGTCTTAGGAATACTATATCTGTCCTGCACTGGCACAAATATCCGAATAATTCTTCAATTTTTATGAGTAAATATACTGAAGAATCAAGATTCACACGTTTTTAAAAAGTAATATTTCTTATCTTAAGATCAAGAAAATAATTTGCCAAAGTAAACAAGAAATTCAAAATCCATTTAATTTGGGCCATTAAAATATTTGTTCTTCAAACTCTGTTTTTTTCACATGGGGAACTATTTGAGTTTTGTTTTTGGACTACAGTGCAGTAAAAATATTACTTAAGCAAAGTTTTAAACATAGTCGTTACGCACAATGATTCAAAAATTTAGACAAATATTCAATATCAAGGCGTTTTATTCAGACAATTAGCCTAAGAAATAAAATAATTTGCAATCACACGCATATTGCAAAACATTTTTTCTAATTCTGTCCTGTTAGAATATTGCCTTAAAATCAACCAAACGGAGGAACAAAAAACCATTCGACGGCCGGCGTCGTTCGAGGATTTAACAGTCACTGTCATTAAGATTAAACAAATGGAAGTGTAGCTAAAAATGGTGGTAGAGTACACTTATTTCTAAGAATTGGTATCTCAGTTTGTTTTTTTTTTAACCATGATGGTATAAGAACGTTGTGAAGCGATACACGTACGATACACAAATAATCGACTTGGTGAGTTCTTTGAATGTTTATGACGTTAATAACAATAATATCATTGTTCATTTATCAACCGTAACCTATGAAGAATAATACTATCTCT